AGCCGCGGGGCCGGGGCACAGCCCGCGGGGCCGTCCCGGAGGAGGGGGGATGCGGGGACGGGCCCCGCGCCTCCGGGAGGTTTGTGCCCGGGGATCTGGCTCGAGAACGCCGCCGTTATCCCGGGCTCGGAGCTGCCCCTGGCACTTCGCAAAGTCGCTCTCCTTGGCCCGCTCTGAAGTGGAAAGGGAGTTTGTTCCTGTGGCCGGAGGAACGGGCTGCCCGGGGCCCGGCAGCGCAGCCGGGGCTCCCGAGGCCCGGTGCATCTCCAAGTCCCAGCGGCTGTTCCGTGGGGCTGGTTCAGGTTGTTACAGGGGCAGAGAGGCTCCAGTGCTGGCGGAATGACCCTAAATCCGCTCCCTGGAGGGCAGACTCCTGTCAGGGAGCTGACTTTGCTAGGCCTGGCTCTGCCGGTGCGCTCCCTGACGCTCGGTCCCTGTGCTCTGGTGCCCGGTCACGATTCGGCTTTCAGCGTGCTCCCTCTGGAGAGAGCAGAGACACGAGAAGATGCTCCGTGGTAGTGGAATGTCTGTCCCCTCAGCCATGGATCAGCCCTGGGCCCCGTGCCCAAGCACTGATGGCTCCAGGGGCTCTCTGCTGCCCCAGGAGCAGGGGGGCTGGTGTGTCGGCCCTGCCAGCCCCGCGCCCAGCCGGCGGAAGGGAAAGCAAGCGAGTGTCCAGCTGCCCTGGCGAAAGGGGGATGGAAAAGCCCCGTGGGAACCCAGCGGAAAATTGTGCTCAGGGCCTCGCCTATGCTAGAGGGCTCAATGGTTTGCTGCCATCCAGCACAAGCACCCCAGTCCAGGACCAGTCTGAACTGGGACCACAGCAGTGCAGCCTGGAAACGCCCCATCACAGGAGCTCCTGCACTCCCTGCCTCAGCGACCTGAGCTCTGCCCCAGCCTGAACTCCGTGCTGGACCTGGGACTGGAGTGGCACCACAGCCTTGTCACCACACCTGGCGGAGAAATGGCTCTTGGAGCCCCGGGGAGCTGGAGGGTGCGGGGGAGGTTTGCTCCCCAGTGGGTGAGATGGATGGCCCAGTTGCTGCCTGGGCAATGGCTCGGGCCCCATGTGCTCATGCCGTGCCTCTTCCAGCCTCCCCCTGCTCCTCATCCTCCGGCGGCCTCGTGGGTGCCGGCCCGCTGGGGAACTGGGGTCTCAGCGTGAACACGGGACGACCCCCGAGGCGCTGGGCTGCCCCTGGCTGATGTCTGCCCACGGAGAGCAGGCGTTGCGCTGCGGGAGACGGCGGCCTGTCCCTTCCCGGGGACACGGTGACGGGCGTGGAGGGCCAGGTGCTGTTCGGTGAGTCGCCTTCAGCTCCGTCCCAGCAGCCGAGGCTCTGCCCCGCTGACCTGTCCCAGATGCTCTTGGTGTGGTGTGGCCGGGCCCCTGCCTGCCGCCACGCAGAGCTCCGGGGCTGCTCAGAGCCAGCCCCAGCGCCCTGCGAGCAGCAGCGCTCAGCAGCGTGTTTGATTCCACATCTGAACGTGGAAATCAAAGCGAATCCTGGACCCTGGCCCAAGTGACACCGTGGGGCTGTCACTGCAGGACCTACCCTGCGTTCCCCTGCCTCTCATTCACATACACACACCCCCCAGCTGGGGTCTCTCCCTGGGGTGCTCCGGGGTGACACGGCGGGGGGTCTGTGTCTGAACACTCCCTGCGATGCCCAGGGGTGGGCTGCTTTGGGAAAGGCCTCAGTGCCCCGGGAAGGGGCAGGTCTGTGTCCTGGGGGCATATCCCCACAGGTGGTGGCAGCCGCAGGGCCCCCAGGGCTCAACCACCTCACCCTGACCTCTCCTGACAAGCACTTGCTCTGGGTTTTCTCCTACTCTAGCCTCCAGGCGCAGTGCTAATCCCTTTTTCCTGGGAGAGCCAGTAACAACCTAAAATCTTTTCCCCTTCCTAGATATTGTTTTAAAACTATTTCATCATATTCTTTTTGGCTGAAATAAGGGGAGCTTCTTGAGGAATGTGCCTGGTACATTAACACATAGAGCTGATTTTACACACTCTTTCTAACCCTTTACTCACCTCATGATGGGGCCTCGGGCCTGGGCACGAGTCACCTCACCAAGCTGTCAGGTTATGGGGTGCTGTGCTCGCCGAGCTGTCAGGTTACGGGCTGCTGTGCTCGCCGAGCTGGCTCCCCACACCCTCCAAGCCCCCGTGTCCACCCTCCATGGTGGTCAGCAGGGCCTGCCTGACCCTCATCACTTCAGGCCTCCTCCCCAGCCCCCCTCCTAAACCAGAGCCGCCCTCCCATCTGTGGCTGAAGCAGGTAACACACTGGGAGGTCACTGCCAGACTGCTGGGCAAGCAAGGCTGAGCGCTGCCACGAGAAAGGAGAAATGGCACCTCTTCTCAGCTGTGCAGAGGTCTGCAGGAGGGGCTGTTGGGGTGAACATCACCCAGCAAAGTGCTGTGTATCGGCACAAGCGGCCCTTTCCCTTCAGACACCTGCGAGTATACCCTAAAGGAGACCGGCAGCAGCCTGGGTACCGCGTGCTGTGTGTACACCCTAAAGGAGACCGGCAGCAGTGCAGCGGGTGACGCATCCACGGGCTGGAGCGCCCGGGCCACCAGCACCAAGGCAAGAGGCAGGAAAGGTTCCTCATTCAGCCAGGCTGCTGTACCACGTCAAAAAGTATTTGGAAATGGCGACGTTTACTCATCCTGGCGAGAAGAAAACTCAGTGCCTTCATCACCGAAATGTTGAGTGCTGCGCAGCATGGAGTGGGTCCCTCTCTGCCAGAGCACCTGGGAGACAAGCGCTGTGCCGGGAGCATGGTGCCAGCCTCGCCCTCCAGAAGCAGCGGGGAAGCGTGTTGAGCTACCCTGGTGCTCATTTCCTGCTTTTGGGCTTGGGTTTGGGTTTTTTTTGTTTTTTTTTTTTTTCATTTCAAGTTCTTTAGTCCGTAAGATGGGGGAGCTGTTGCATTGTGCAAAAAAAGCAGAGCCCGTTCCTGCTAATTCCCAGGCATTAGTCTCCTTGTAGCCAGCAGGCAGGAGGTGAGAGGCCGCATGCCGGCTCTCTGGGGAGCCCCAGTGCCCCCCGTTACCGCCTCGCCTGCCGGGAGGCACGGGACGAGCGGCTTCTGGAGAGGCCCCTTCCTCATCGATACTTCTCGGTTTATTTCAGAGCATTGCTCTCCGAGGTGTGCCAGCGAGTGTCACACACCAGCAGGGGTTGGTTCCCGGCTCTTGGGGCGTCTCCCAGCAGCCCCACTCTGGATCGGGCCCTGTGCTGGGAACCCCCGCGGGGGCCGGGGGGCAGGTGCCGGGGCTGTCCTGGACGGACTCAGTTCATCCACCGAAACCAGACCAAGCAGAGAGATATAAAACACCTGGAGCACATCCTTTTTTACATTTTTTAATCTTTAAAAAAAAAAAAAAACTGTTTAACTTAGATTTAAATTCATGATTATAGTAATTGCACTGTTTGCTCGATCTTTTAACAGATTTGCTCCTTGAGGAATAAAATAACATGCTGATATTCTTTGGATTTTTTTGAAATCTCCTGCATGATTATATGAAGATGCCTACCAGTTAGTATCTGGCTTTCAAAAAAGTGGCTTATATCTTTCAGTACTTTTTAATCGTTAGCCATAAGGTGGAGGACTATCACAAATAGTGCTGGATGCCCAGTACTGATCTAGCACATGCATGGATTCTGCATTGCACGAGCACCTTTTTGTCTGGGGAAGACCTTGAGGCACAGCTGAGAAGATTTTGCTGTCTAAGAGCCCCAGGCCTTGCGGGCAGGGCGACCCTCTGCACCAGCGCAGGAGCTCAGGGCATGGGGACAGCCTCTGGTGGCTTTGCTTGCGCCGGGGCTCTCTGGGCACCTCCAGCCCAGCGGCCAAGGGGCTGCTCCACGGCGGGGACCCGAGCTCTTCCGCAGCACAGCTCCAGTGTGTAGGGATCCAGGCGTGGGAGCAGGCATGGCAGATGGAGACCCTGCACGTGAAACGGGAAGGAAGAGATTTATTGCACGGTTGTAAATCAAAAAACAGAGAATAAGCCCAGTCACAACAGCAGCCTACCCCAAAAAAACCTGCTACTTGCAAGAGGCTATTTCCTTCCGCCGCGTTTCACTGTCACCTCCAGACCATGGGACAAGCATTCCCGGGACAGGCCAGGCAGCCGCAGGGAAGCAGCTGGAGGGCAGCCGCCCTGCCTCTCTAAGGCCCACGCTCCCTCCAGTTGGGTCTTTTGAAATCCTTTCTTACTCACATTTCTTTCTTATGCGATCTATTCCTTCTTTGTTGAGGTGACTTCTCAGGAGAAAATAGCAAAATCAACATCCCCAGCCTGCTCGAATTCCCTCGGTGTGTGGCAGGTCTCTGAGAGCCATGTGGAGAGCTCGTTTCCATAATAGACTGGAAAATTGTTTGCTCTTCTACCAGTTGCTGACTTAAGTGTTTTCCTTAAGCCAAATCCTGCATGGAAAAGAGTATCCGATCACTCCAGCCGTTTGCACTGTCTTCCTTCTGCATGTCTCATCTCCTCTCTTATATCCAAGCAACAGGCTGGGGGTTCACGTTCAGCTGCCTGGGATGGGAGAATGAAGAACTACCAGAGACCTCATTTATGCACACAAGGAAAAAAAAAAAATCTTTTGCTTACAGTCTTTAATTTACAGTCTTTACAGTCACAGTTTAAAGCCTACAGAAGCTCACCACTGCCATAACCACATTGAAGCGAAAAAGCTACACCAAAAATGAGTCAATTGTCACCGCAAAATTTTACTCCTGAATGCAGGCTGATGCTTTGCTCCCCAGACAAGGAATGTGCTATCCCATCGGAACAGGAAGAGCAGATTTAATGGTTATTAGGCATAAGCATCCCAAACAAGCATAACTGGAAAATAATAGGTAACTAATATTTTGGGGAAGTTGCTAATTGGAAAAAAAAATACAGAGACACACAAGCAAAAGAAGTCGAGTAATAACTCTTCAAAAGAGAGCGAGCTGGAGTCTGGCATGGATCCCCACAGCTTCTGAGCTTGTTCAATTAAAATCAACACTGAATGGGTTTTCTTTCTCTTCCATTACTCAAGCTGCATTCTTCAAAGGGATAGCAAATGAGTGATATGCATATGAAAGAACCATGGAGTATGAAATTGCAAAATGATACAGGGTTTGGATATTTGCACTTTGAGATATTAAATCTTCTGAAGGAAAATATTTGAGCAAATTCTGAATAAAGAACCCTACAGAGGAGGAAGGAAGAGCCACGAGATAAATCTAATAAGGAAGAGACTAAGCAATTTCCAAGCGCTATTGAGTTGCTTGGTTTAACCACAACACAGTATTTCCAGTGTGGGGTTTACGTGTCCATTTGGTCAGGGCAGTGAACACGCTGTCATGGCCTTTCTGACCCACCTTTCCATCCATGGCTGCCATGGGGCGGCCCCTGGGGACCACACAGGTCCCCCCGTGTGCCATGGCAGCAGGGGTTCCGCTGGCTGTGGGGCCTCGGGGACGCAGTTTGGGGACGGCAGGGCCTCAGGGTGAATGTTTGGGGTCATTCGTGGCCCCAGTCCCCACCACCCCCTTCCCTGGTGGCTGCCCTGGGGCGGCCGCGTGGCCCCTGCCCATGCAGGCAGCGATGCCGAGGGGCCACACACGAGCCTGCGGGTGGGTCGCAGTAGCTGACGTTCACTACTGGGTCTCGTGATGATTGTAACACAAACTGGGTTCAAGGTCCTGAGTCAGACTTGGATGTAACCCTTTCCAGAGATTTAGAGGTGCTAAAAATCACTTTCTTGCCCCTGGTGCCCACCCCCTGTTCTCTCTGCAGGCTCAGCACTGGGGCAGCACCCTCTGGGCAGCTCAACTCCTCGCGGTCCTTGGCTCGCAGTGAGAGGCAGAAGGCAGAGGCGGCAGCAGCAGCAGCAGTCCCTCCCCTGCCGCGGGCACCGCTGCCCTGCCCAGCACACACTTTATTACAGCTGGCAGCTGGTAAGGGCACCTAACAGACGGGTGTCACCAGTCATTTGGATCTCTCAACTTTACAGGACCAAGTACTCTAAATTAAGCTTTGTTTTATGAGCTCACTAAGAAATACAACAAACAAAGGCTCCATCTCCTTTGCCCAGACTAGTCTTTCACGCGAATTCTCTTACTGACCCCCCAAGTCATGAGGTGTCATACCTTAAAACCCGTCACTCTGAACTCATGCACCGGTGAGTAAGTCGTCCCTAGCTGAGGGTGGGTGCTCATCGCTCCCCCCCGATGCTGTGCGGGCATCCCCTGCGTCACTCTGGGAAGCACGAAAGCCCCAGCAGCCCGGCTCTGTGGCTGCACCTCCAAAGCGCCGCAGGTAAGCGGCTGTTTCACACCTCCCAGCCGGAGGGTCAGCCCTCCCTGTTCCCAGGAGTCGGCAGATTCTGACGGAGCTGGCTGGCGCTCGCTCTGCCAAGGTGCTGGCTGCAGGGCACAGCCAGCTGCAGGGCACCGCCGCTGCATCCTGGCACTGTGCCTCCTTCTGGCCACCCCTCCTGGCTACCCAGTGCTCGCTTTGGGCCACTGGCGCAGCTCCCAGCCCACACCAGGCCTTGGCATGAGCCACATGAGCCAGAATCTGAGCAGGAGGCACAAAGGGCCAGGTATTCCCATCATTTCTTTATTTTGGGAGGGGTGCAAGGACAGGGCTAGGGCTACCTGCTGCATAGCTGTGCCCATTCTTGGTCTTAGTCTGCCAGCCTGCTTTATTTTTAATATTATGTACAGTTTAAAAGGCATTAAAAGTCACCTCCTTGGCACTGAATCTTGTATTTTCAGGAACATGCTGCATGGAAAACACTTAGACAGTTGCCTTAGAAGACTTCCAGCCCTGACGGTCTCTCTAATCGCACAAGACTTCCATGCTGTGTTTAAAAATCTCAGAATGCCATGACTTGATGGTAATTAGTGATAATTGTTTCACACACAAGCACTGTATTTGACTAATAACTCCCTTTACAAGAGTCAGGGAGATCAGGGACGCCTGGGTCAAGAACCGTCGCTGTTAATTACCCTTTTACTCCTCCCGTTGCTAACACAAGCTTGTCCACAGCTTCTGCTGGTGTTGACCTTTCAAGGACGGGACGCTCAGCCCTGCGAGGTCTTGAGCACCACAGCACTGTGCTCAGACAGCGGAAGCAGGTTCAAGTGCTGCATCCCAGGTCCCCTTCAAAAGCGGCAAACACGGATCATCATTTCTTAAGGAAAAGAGGCAGGTGTGCCAGCCTGGCCTGACCTGCCGCAGAGCGCGGGCCAGCAGCCACACACTCATGGGTTTTGCTGCTGTTTGAAGTTCTTCTGGAGACAAACCCAGGCTGGGTTAGAGAAAAACAACTTCAATTGACAGAATTCGAACAGCCCCTTGGGTAAGTTGCTCCAGTGACTTACTATTCTTATTGTTAAAAATGTGCATCTTACTTCTACTTTTAAGCTTCCTATTGAAGCTTCCAGACATGGATTTTTTTTTCTTTTTTTAAGGGATAACCCCTGAAGAGAAATATTTCTCAGGCAGTGGGTAATGTGTGCTGTGAATGGCCATGGGCTAACAGGAAGGGATCAGGAGATATTAAGGACTGTACTGCCATCTCCAGCCATAACCCTCCCTTCCCGTCCTGCCCTGGAGGTCACACGCCTGCGCCTGGGGAAAGTCACACTCGGGAAGTTGGAGAATGAGGACGGTGCAGATCCTGCCACACAGGCTTGAGCAAATGTGGCTGCAAAACAGGAGCTGATCATTGGAAAAGGTTTAGAAACTCTGCAAATCACAGGAAAATGGTTATCGGATGGTTTTCCCCTTGTGTCAGTACTGCCAGGCTGCGCTGGGGTCACACCATCACGCCCTGGGGCAGTGGGTGTCATCTGTCGGGCCAGACCCTGCTCTGGGCACTTGCCGGCTCCAAAAGTCACAGTTTCTGCCATGGGGGTTCACCCTCTCGAGGGCTGACAAGGGCAATGAAGGGACCCCACAGGGCACGGCAGGCGCCTGGCACTGCCGCCGAGATGCCTCCCCACACCTGGACCCCCCCAGCCCCTGGCCTGGCTGCTTCCCGGGAAGGTCGGGGACAGAGACCCCCAGAGCCAGGCATCCCCTGCACCCCGGGGGGGGTCAGCCCCTTCCTTCTGCTCGGGGTCTGGTCCCCACAGCCGAGTGCCCACACCAGCCTGAGCCCCGTGCCCAGTGGGGTCCAGAGCTGCCACCACACGCCTCGCTCCTGAGCATCACCCTCCTCTGCTGTGATCCTGCCTGCCCAGCAAAGCTGCTGCCTCGCCCAGCTCTGCTCTGCTCTCCAGAAGGAAGTGTGTGACTATCAAACAGTTAATTAGATTCTCTGACTTCTGAAAAAATAAACCAATCTCGACCACTGTTATTTTACAGACTTGGAAGCAAGACTGCGAAGATGCAGTGCCCTTATGAAGCCAGTGAGCAGCATGAATACACAACGTGAATGTGCATTCAGTGTGTGCAGGAACATGAAATCATACAGGGAACGTGAACTGTGTTTCCAGAAAATGTCCCTTGCGAGGCAATGACCAAGCACTTCAGATGGCTGCATGGCACAGCAGTTGTCTCTACACACCGCAGCTCTGGAAGCGCTCCTCTCTGCCTTAGAGATAATACCCTTCAGAAATGCCTCTCCCGTTACCGAGAGACCGCCCTGCCACAGCCGAACCTCCCTGTCTCTGTCTCCCCGCTCGCAGAGATCTGGACGTGTTTCCGCAGCTCGGTGTCAGTTCTGCATTGCCAATGGCAGACATCTTAATGAAAAGCATCTTCCCGTCAGCGGCGGCGCCAGCTCCCAGCAGTGCTCCTGATTAGCCCGCGCAGGAGCTGGCGCTCGACGCTGACCTGAAAATCTGCTTACCTGATTTCCGAGTGGGAGGGAGCTCAGGGCTGCTGGCGGCTGAAACGGGGATGCTCAGCACAGAAACCTCTGCTCAGCCTAACTAATGCCTTGCTGGCCTTCCGCGGCCCTGGCACCAAGGCGCGGGGCTGGGGCATTCTGGCTTCTTCTGCTTTGAGAAGACACATCCTTGGCTTTCCCCTGGATTTCTCAGTGAAGCCCCAAAGGCGCCGCCTGTGCCCGGGTTTCTGGGTACGGCAGCGAGCTGGCACAGAAGCAGCTGAGGCATGCTGGCTTTTCCTGTCGCAGCACTTTTCTATATGTCCCCACCAAGAGACTCTGCCTGTGCTCACTCAGCGATGCGACCTGCAGGTGCTTTTCTCCCTGTCAGTGTTACTGGGGGGGTTGCAGTGGGATGCAGAGGTGCCAGGGAGCCCCCATGCCCGAGTGCTGGGTGGGCACAGCGCAGAACCGAGCTCACCTAGTTTGACTCCCAGCCCACCAGTCAGGCTGCCAGGGAGCAGAGCACCGAGGCTGGGAGCTGCGTTTGCAGCAAGAACCACAGCTGCTCAGGCTATTATTCCCCAGTGGAAACAGAGACCATTTTTCCATGTGGCGACCTTTGTCTCTATTGAATCACAGAATCATTCTGGTTGGAAAAGACCTTGAAGATCATTTAGTCTAACCGTTGCTGAGCGCCGCTGCCCACCGCTGTCCCTCCGTGCATGTGCTGCTCTGCGTGGCAGCTTCTCCCGCGGGCGGAGCACGGTGGCCCCGGGGCCGCTGCCGAGCAGCTCCCCACTGCAGCCGTGCCCCCACCGGCCGCTCCTTGCCTGCCCAGCGGCTACCCGAGGTGTCACCATCCTGCCAAGATTAAATGACACTTTCCTGGAGGCTGTGCGCATCGGTCCGTGCGTTCCGCGGTCCGTGATGACCCTTACCGGGGAGTCGGTCATTAAGGAAATGTTACTTCTGGGGAGCTCAGCTGCAATCCGCTCTCTGGAACCTGGCTTGTCCGAGTCCCAAAAGACCCATATCCACTTGTCTTTACCTGCTGTATCTTCTCAATTTCTCCTACGACTTTGCACACTGCTGAGGACTAGCCTAAAGATTCCTGTTTTCTCATCTCACTTCAGCCCCTTTCTTAAAATACAGGAACAAGTGAAACTTCCCCCCCCCCCCCCCCCCACACC